TGAAGCTCGGGACGCAGTGCAGGGGTACTTGCTCTCGTACCCCTGAAGTAGAGTTCACCTTCGACTCTACTTTGAAGAGTCCTTTATCTAGGATCTCTTTCTTAGCCTTGGGGGGAACAGGCGGCATGTTGCGGCCGCCTGCAAGAAGGGGCAGATTCCTGTTCCACCTGTTGAAGCGCTTGTTCAGCTCTGTGTCTGAACTCTCAATGATAAGGAAGGTGCTCCGCCAGTCCTTCCATTTGTTTGCTTTACCTCTCGTCATGAGGTAGCCCCTGTGGCTCGTCAATTGATACCAGCCGGTACCGCCTGCCTTAGGGGTCCGGCTGAGGTAGTTCATGTGGGCGAAAGCCTCGAAGCTCGGCTTCACCCCGTGCAGTTCGCACCCGGCCACATAGCCGAGTACGTTGACCCAGGAGTTCGGGGCTAACTGCCATAACCCCAACTCATACCCATCCAAGATCCGCTGAACAGCCGGATGTAGTGGGAAGCGCAGCCCAACCTTGATGGCCGCCTCGTAGCTGCCAAAGCAGGCGCTATCATAACTGGTACCAGCCGGCCAGACGACTATGTCTTCTGGATCCGGCACAAACACTAAAAAGCCGGGGCCCATTGTGTGGTTTGCGATAAAGCTCTCAACTTTATCTTGCATGGCCATGATCCGGCCCCGAGGTACCGTGCAGTAGTAAGGGGTATTTTGCTCTCGGTAAGAGGCGGATGGCTCCGCCCAATCGTCCCCCTTCTCAACTGCGTGAGAAAGCCTCGCCTCTTGCAGGCGACTGTTTTTCTCTTCTGTGTCCAGAGAAGCATGGCCAGAAGAGCTAGACTCGGAATCGTCCTCTGACGAGTCCGAAGAGGACGACACCTCCCTTCTCCCGGAGGGGCCCGCCTCCTCTCCTTTAAAAGGAGCAGGAGAGAATGTAGAATTGTCAACTATAAAATGGGAAGGGGTCACTTTGACTCCTCCCTCAGAACTGCCGGCTTTCAAGCCGCTTTGTTTCACTTCCACATCTGGCGCTTGGTCAGATGTTTCACTAATCGGCACCCTGTGGGAGGAGCCGTCTGAGTTTGTGATCCTGGCAGTCTTTTTTGTTCTGGCCATCATGCTCTGCATAGACACGGATACAGTCGGACTTTGTATAAAGGGCAAAGATGGGTCCGGAAAAGGGCAGGCGGCACTCCGAGTCCTAGATTCAGCCGTCCCCGGTGACCGGCTGATCACTAACCTAGGTCGTGTCGTGTGCTTCCGTGGTGCCATTTCAAAAAAGAATAAAATAAAGAGAAAATTAAGAGTAAGAGAACCGACGGTTACCTGAACGAGTGACGTTGATGGAGTTCTGAAAATCCTGTGCAGTCGGCTTGTCAGAACAGGCGGTAGGCAGAAAGGGTCCAAAATGTCAGAGCAAGTTCAGGGGTCCGAATGTTCTCTCACAAAGTTCTCAAGTGTGAAAATGACCGAAGTCAACACTCCTTTATATAGGCAAAGTGTGAAGGCGAAGGGTCACTTCCAGAATTCATAATTTGGGCGGGAGAATCTCTCGGCCTTTCGCCGAGTGACACCTGTAGCAGGCCGTCGCTTGTTACAGTGCGACACCTGTCACAGGTAACACGTGACCAGTCACGTGCCACCTGTGAGGGGCAAATGATTAGGGGATTTTGCTCCCACCAATCGGAATGCGCCACGTGGGCCAATCAGGTCCTGCCAAGTGTCCCTCAGTTGGAACTGTCAGGGCTTGCCACGTGGCACCCGCTTATTCGTCCACCTTGGACCTATTATGTCATGACACGTGGCATACTCCATGCCTAATGGAGAAACCGGCCACCCAGGCCCAACTTCCGAGGGAAGCCCAATCAGCCCTAGGTTAACCTAAACCTAGGATTGGCACGTTTCCCAAGGTTATAAATACCTCCCTTAATCCTCATTAAGGGGGATTACATGAATAACAGGTTGATCACGCTAAAAAAGCAGATTACCTACATTAAACACTCTCACCTAGAGAGACCCAATCACTTTAATTTCCGCATTAATTACTCCTTAATCAAGTACTAACTTGACCGTTGGAGGCGGAGCTCCCACCACCAGGAGTCTCCGTTTTTTTGCAGGTACATGCGTCCGGTTCAAGTCTCGGAATTGTAACTCTCCCGCAGGACATCAGAAAACCCCGAAACACTAGGGTTTGTTATTAATCTTGTAAGTATCATGCCTAGGATCTTGCTATTATTATGCTTTAACATGATTATGATTATTTTTATGATCTATGATTATAATTTTTATAATTATTGTTATGATGATTATTTTTAATTATTATGATTATGACTAGGGATGTCAGTGGGGCGGGTCAAGTAAGAGACCCGCCCCATCCCCGCCCCAATGGGTCTCGGTTTGGCGGGTGGTGGGGCGGGGATGGGAATAAAAATCATACCTGCCATGGGTGATGGGGCGGGGGTGGATTTTAAGTTGTACCCGCCCCATCCCCGCCCCCCCCCCCCCGCCCCACTTCGTACCCTCCCCATCCCCACCTCATACCCACATCCATATATCTTTTAAAGCAAAATTACATACTTTTATTCTATTTATAAAATAATTACATGAAATACAATATTAATTATAATACTTTGTACGACATTTATATTATAACACAAAAATTTGTATATAATGTTTTATTTTATAATTCGTATTAATTATGTAAGGTTGTGTATTTGATATACGGATATTAGGTGGATCTTGGGTGGGGATTAGGCGGGTTTTTGGTGGGGATTAGGTGGGGATGGATATCCAAGTGGGGGGTGGGGCGGGGATGGTTTTGGAGTTGTACCCGGTGGGGCGGGGATGGGGATGAAAATTGGACCCGCCGCGGGGATGGGGATGAAAATATTAGGTGGGGATGGGGATGGGAAGGCCAACATCTGCCCCGCCCCGCCCCATTGACATCCCTAATTATGACGATTATTTTTATTATTGTTATGTTGCTTGATATTTATTTTATTGCTTGATCACGCCTTTTATGCATGTTTAAAGGGAATTGGTACTTGTAATCACGCTTAATAAGATAATTAATAATCTTATTTAGGGTTAATTTGATTATAATTCAAGTGATCGCCAATAATAGATTTTATTTGTGCATTAATATTCAACCAACATAGATAAATAGATTTAGGGTTATCCTATTGATTGCATGTTAGTCAAAAAGCGCACATGAATACGATCAGAATAAAGTAGAGGCCTATTATTAGGGCAGGTTCAATTTCTTTTAGGTTGGATTTGTACCTTCATCCCCGAACCCTATTTGGTTCAAGACCTTATGGAGTTGACAATCTCATGGATCGTTAAGGGGTGTAACCTTCACCTTGTGAACGGTTTACAAGTTCCTAAAAAACTTGTTGGCAACTCTTTTGCTCTATCTTCCTTCCCTTTGGACGCCACCGTACTTTAGTGTATGATCATAGTGGGGTTCGAGCTAGGGTTAATGCTTGAAATATTCCCTACACCCTTTTTCTTTCCTAATATAAATTTCTAATTAAGCAATTTTGACGTCATTTGAATTCCCTTAATAAAATCGACAAAAATATCTCTAAATTGTTGTGCAAAATCTATTCTACGATGAAGACGGTGATTAAAAGGAGATAAATTAAAGTTCAGAGAAGGAAAAATTGAATGGAAAGAAAAGGAAAGGGTGTAAAAATATTCAGAAAATATTGTTTGGCATTGCTAACATGTCAAAAGATCATAAATACTTTCAAGACATTAAATGTTCTCTTTTAGAAATAGATTTTAATTTCATATTTAATGTTAAATGTAAATTTATAACAAGGATTTGAGCTTTAGTTATTTGAATTTATATAACTACCATGCATGCGCAATGTTACAAGATTGTAAAAGTTATTTTCATCAAAGATTTTTGTTTCATAAATAATACTCTAACTTATATACAACCCGTGCATAAAATAGACCCAAAACCTAATTTAATTTCAAGAGGATCATCATTTCCGTGTAGCAAAACTCGAGGATCACCATTGAAAATTTTCCAAAAAAGAACTAACTAGAACATATATTAGGAAGATAAAAAAAGAACAAAGCCAATTCTTAGTGGGACGAGTATTTTAATACAATCTTAACTCTCGAAACATCATTCTTCACTTGTTTTTACTTAGTACTTGATTAGTTATATTCATAATTGTGGCTCTAAAATGTTGTCCCTCCCTCCGTGTTTTATTAAGTGTTATAATTTGACTTTTTTTTCACTATTCACATAATGATTTTGACTTGATTATTTTACTAATATATAAAAAAACAAATGTCAGATAATGTAGACTTTCATTTTATAAAATTTCCTATGTTTTACAAAGATATAATTAGTTAAATTAATGGTCAAAAATGTGTCTCAGCATGCGTATTTAGTTAAACTTTAACATTTATTAAAATACGGAAGGAGTAAGGTTATCCATTATCATATAAAATCCTCTTAAAATTATAATCACATAGACTTTTAATAGCCTTATATGGATTAAATGTAATTCCAAAATACTATCTCCATTCCTTCTCTGTTGTAAGTTTGTAACAATAAGGTCAATAACCTTCACGATCTTCAAATGCACATTTTTTCACCACGAAAGGTGGCCCCTGGTAACCTGCCGAGGTCAAGGATCTGGAAGCACCAATTGTAAAAAGACATAGCTCAAGTTTATACAGGAATACTGAACACATTTGTTGGGCACACTTTGGCACGAGGTATTCAATCCGTTTCAGTTTCAACAGTTGGATCATTTATATTGACCATAGCTTGTTAGGACAAAACGGATTTCTAACTAGCAGCAAAAACATCAGCTCCCTCCCTTCTATGCTCGTAGATTCGTAGTTATATGAGTCAAAACTGAAAATAGAGTGTAGACTAATAACAAACACAGAAAATAGACGAAAAGATGCTCATCTATCAGGGTTTATGCAGTAGATAAGCTAACAAAAATGAGGAAACTGAAAGAAATGAGCTGCATCAAATCAGAAATAGAAAACCAACAAAATTCAGAAGAGAAGAGCCTCTTCATTACTTCAAAACTTCTGAAAATAACCACTGTTACATGATAATATGACAGATGGAGACACAATATTGTCCACGATACTTTCATGATCATCTGAAAAATAGTCCAGCCACTTCAACAAATAACATTCATGGCTAAACAACAAGTAATATATCAATTAGTGTGTTACACTTGAAATGGCAAAGGAATATTTTTAGCTGAGCGGTCAAAGTCCAAAGCCAAAGATAGCTCGAATCCTTTGGAAGATCAGATCTCGCCAGCCTCTCTCTGTGTTTTCCACCACAGTTTCATTCCCATATCTGCATCAGATAAGAGCATACCATCAATCTATCAAGAACCAAAAGGCATACATACAAAATATTAGACAGACACAAACCCTAAACTAAAACCAACCTATCTTCCTCCGGAACATCAGTCTGAACCAACTTAACCACAGTGACACCAGATTCTGGCTCCTCAAATGTCAGCTTCACCTGGATACACCAATTATAATGAAGATCAATAGAAAGACTACATCGATCAAACATTAAGTGTATGGTGTAAAATATAAATACAATAATAAAATAATACGGAGTAGTATTACAACAGAACCTCATTGCAGAGGTTCTCGCACTGCTAGCTTGTTCATCAACATGTTAAATGGCAAGAATGGACAAAATGCTACAATATTATAATACTTGGTACAGCAAAATTCTCTCCATCCCCCTTCCCCCACAACAACAAAACTAGTAATTACACCGCAAACAAAAAAACATTAAAGTGCGGTTTCACACACATTAATGTTTACTCTATTTAGTAGTTCAAAATTCAGCCCACCTCAAACTTTCACAATCACGTGACTGTTTTAAAGATCCCAACAGCTATCAGTAAGATACTCTATTATATACGTCAATTATTTTTATCGCAATGCAATTCATAATCATGATCTACATAGGATGAAATAAGGCGACACCTTCTTCAACATCCTAAATTTATAGGGGCTTAGGGTACCAAAAAATATTGACTTTCAATCAATTTTACCAACGGAACAGGCTTGAAGTTTAGCTTTAAACTCTCAATATAGTCTTCAGCAAAATATAAGCTTCAATAGAATAGTATTACCTCTTATCTTGCTATTGGGGTGGACAAGTGGGTCTATAGAGTATGTATTCTCAAGACTATTAGATCTCTTGTGGTCGTGTGATTTAAAGGATTGTGTCAGTTTGGCATTTGCAATGAGCTAATGTCAGATTTGCAGTTAACAGATCATTGAGAAGGATACTAAGAAATATTTTATAGCTCAAAATATCTTGTAAGTTGTAACTCTCTAGTCCAGCACATGATTTCAATGTTTTTGCCATTTTCATAGGATGATTCTTTCTTAGTCAAAACTCCAAACTGTTTATGCTTGCTTAGTGATTCTTTCTACACATTTGTTTTGCAAGATACGGAGTATTTTAGGACCCAAATAGGGATAGCATAATTAACCAGGAAATCTCGACAGTGGAAAAATTTCAGATCCATTTCCACTAAGAAATAAAAATCAAAATTTCGCTCTCCGGCTTATCACAAAAAGAAAATATTTGGCGAAAGTTCAGCTTATCAGCTATCTAATCATCAATTTTTATACTTTTAGGGTAATAATGTAATCACCTTTGTTTCCATCTGTGCCATCTTCCTAGTCTTCTCTAAAAGCAGCCACCTAATCGACTTCTTATAGAGGTAATTGGATCCCTCATAGTTTCAATATGATCTATTCAGCTAAAACAACGCTATCCTTAAAAAAGATGAGCATTGCTGAAATGCTATTGAAATTTCTAGTAATCTCAGAAAAAAAAAAAAGGGGTGCAACTACATCAGAAGATCAGAACTTATATAAACTGTCATTCACTCATGTTTTTCCTCTTATATTTCAAAGATTTTTAGCATATCTCCTTGCATAGGTTTTCTTTCATTCCCTTGTCCGAGTTGTCCCTTTTGACTTGACTTGTGCTTAGCTGATCTAATGTACATCGGTTCTCATAGATAATAAATGATGCACACCAGAAAATAGGTCAGTGTATGTTCCTATTTTGATCTATATATATGGGCTAGCATGGAATGGAATTTTCTAGAGAGGGTAAATTTCCAATTACATAATCATGACTTGTAAAATTTTCAATTACATAATCCTACTCTCTAGTTTCAAATCAGTTCAGGACATCTTCTCAGATCTCATGCTTCCTCCAGGTTTACAAAGAACTAATCTTGGCAGTTGGCAGGTCACTTTTGGTATTCTAGATAGTGCTTGGAATAAGGCCATTCTACAAGTTAGTTTAGGCATCTGTACTAGTCAAGAGGTTTCAGGCATCCTCTCAGTTCTCAGGCTTAACACCTTGAAGTTACCAAAGAGTTAAGCTTGGCAGGTCACTTTATGATATCCAAAATACTGCTTGGGATAAGGTCTTTCTCCGGCACAAGTGGTTCAAGGTATCTGTATAATAAAGGGGTTCCAGGGAAAACGAGAATATATTTATGCTTCGGGTGTTGTACGGGGCAAATGCTTAAATGTAGGAATGGTTTGAAAGGGTTAATGTGTTAACACTTAGCAGTTAGCACTGACTATTCGATGATGATTTCTATCTAGGCAAGGTGCCCTTCTGAACCAATTTCAATCAAGAAGACAAATTCAAGCTGTTTCTGCATTTTCAATGGTCTTAAGTTTGTAAGGTCAACAAGTCTCAAGGCTAGTTTTGATCATGTAAGGGCAGCGCCCTGTAGGAAGAGGTTCATTTACATATCAGTATCTTAAAATTCTACTCTTGTTTTGAAAGAGGTAAAAATATAAGACTTGACTCTAGGTATAAGTCATGCACAAATCACTAATTTATTATTGGTCAGATATCAGTGACAGAATTAAACCATTTAACCCTGGTTTTCCAGCAAAGTGTGTACTTCCCCACTTTTTAAGAATCAGTTTTCGACGTGCCATAAGATTATATGAAATCCTTAGTTTTAAATTCCCCTCAGAATATAAAAGCATACAATTGAAAAGTGTTCCCTTGATATGAATCTACTAGTATAAAACTATAAATGTACTCCAAGGGAAATGAAATTCACACACACACACACACACACACACACACAAAAAGGGGGTCAGTCCTTTACACACTACCTATATGCCCTCCCTCAGCCCCTCAGACGAGGAACTCTCAGTCCTTAATACGGATAAAAGCCAACTGACTGAGCAAACCTACCCTCGGACAAGGGGCAAAAACCAGAAACCCTTATCATTAAGTTGGATACAATTTCAGGTAAGGAGCGGAAGGGGGAAGAAATCCAACTCCTTTATTTAGATAAAAGAGAAAAGGAAAGAATGGGAATGGAAACTACCCCCTTGTACCATCATCCCCTTCAATATCCTCAAATCCCATAAAAACATCAGCAATTTCCCAAAAATAATACCCAGAATACATACCCAAAAATTTGAATAAAATAAATTAAAAAGGGATTAATCTTCTTCACAGATTACTTCTCAACTATCCACATTTTCTCTCTCTTCATTTCTTCATCACTTTCCCCAATTCCATTCCCTTCTCTTTTCCCTCAATTTTGAAACCCTAATTTCCCAATTCAAATCACTTCCCTTCTACACTATTATTCGTAATGCATAATTAGATTCAGTTATTCAAATCGAGGGATATATACATTGTGAAATTTGAGGGTGATAATGGCAGAAGTAGGGAAACAACAGTGGAGTGAGCAATGCAACGGAAGAAGGAATTTGGAGGAGTCTGATATGTCTGATTATGAGAAGAAGATTAAGTTTACTAGTAATTTCTTTCCAAATTTGAAAAGATTTTATTCTCAAACAACTAATGAAAATTTTCCCTCCATTTCTCTCACCCTCTAAAATTGTTATCCAGACTATAGACAATGTCATCCGTTTCCCTTCTTTCTTTTCCCTCCCTTTCCTTAAATCCAAACAAGGCGCAAAACAAAGTATATCTAACAATGCAAAAAAGACAAACTTACATGTGAAGATACAATATTAACACACGCGTAAAAAGCATAATTGTAAGCCAATACCTGATATAACTTAATTGGAGCCAGAGGTAGCAAAATTCAGGCAACTAGTTGACATGTAAAAAAGTCCTAAACATTAAGAGCCAAGCAAGGCAATGTAATCTCCCCTCAAGCAGAAAAACTATCAACTACCGATGGCCCCTTAAGTCACCTTTTTTTTTCCCACTAATTGCCCTAGGTAGACTTACTCATCTCATTAGTCATTACTATAAGCCTTTGATCAATTTGATACAACTGAAACTATCAATTGAGTAATTAGATTCAATGCCTCAAGAAAATCTAGTTAACAACAGAGCAAACGAATAAGAACTTGAACCTAAGAAGCAAAACTTTCTCCTGCTCATCATGATCAATAACTCATTTACTCAAAGGCAGAAACTTTTCTCGTATTATGGCTGTCTTTCCCAGAAAAATTTGCCATCTAACCAAATGAATACCTCAAACTTTTCCACAAGCAACCATAACTCCTCTTCCTCAACTCCAAAACTTTAGGCAAATACAAGTGAATGAGTGATCTACTAAATTTTTAAAAATAAATAAAATAAAAACCCCTCTCTATCTACCAGAGCTGGATTAATAAGATCAAACCAAGACAAACTCATATCAAACATTTACACAACCAAAGTCTTAATCAATACCCTATAATATACAGTATACATTCCGAACCGCCATTTCAAAACACCCATGTCAAAATTTGAAGCAAAATCCAACAAAAAAAACCATTTCCACCTTCCAATCAACACAGATTAACATCACAAGTTCACAACAAATCAAATGTCATGAAAATCAAATATCATAAATAAATAGCAACAATATACAATCAAACAATTCAAATCATCAACATAGGAATAAAAGATAACCCAAAAACATACAAAAAAAGAAATGAAATTACCGTAGAGAAAACACCATCAGGCCAATTCCCAAACCTCCATTTCTGAACAATCAACTTCCCTTCCTTCAATTCAACATTAGACCCAGTAACCGAGCCGTCGAAAATACTAAACTCTCCTCCAACCTCCCTACTAATCTTAGCATTACTCTGAGTAAAACCCTTCCACCTATTCTCATCCATCAATATCTCATACAAATCAACCGCCCTACACCGAAACCTCTCACTCAATTTCACCGTCCTAAACCCTTTCTTCTCCTTACTCTTCTTCACCTCCTTCTTCTTCGGTACCGCCACAGCCGGTGTCGAACCCGCCCCACCTTTCGAACCCTCACCCTCCCCTGCCCCCGCCTTGGGCGCCACCTTCTTCACCTCCAACTCCTCCTTACACGGCCCACCTCTCGCCATACTCTCCACATACTCCCTCACCTTCTCCAACACCACCGGCTTCCCCTTCGCAATAAACGCCTCTTTTATCCTCCTCCCAACAACCCCATCATCGTCGAAGCTGACCCTAACCTCCGGATCCTCATCCGCGTTCTCATCGGAGATATACGGAATCTCGATTTTACCGATTGATTTTGAAAGACAAATTCCTGAATCGTCCTTCGCCTCACCCTCCCACGAGAGGGTAAGGGCGAGCTCGTACCCGGGAATTATCTTCCCCTTTCGGATGTTCACATACGCCTCGCCTTCAAGCTTGTCGAGCTTTGTGATCTTCACGAAGAGGTTTCCTTCCCCGGATAAGATTGTGAGGTTGGATAGAGAATCTGAGAGCTTTGTTCTAGACCATTCGAGACAATCTGTTTCAGCCCAGTGCCAATTGTGGACGTTGGTTCCGTCTGGTCTGTCTTGTACTATCCAACGCTTGTCTCCTTCGCCGTATTTCGCCATTGTTGCAGAGAAGAAGGTTGAAGAGAGAGAAAGTGATGGGTTTTTAGAGAGAGAATGAAGGGGAAGTGAGAATTGGGGCGGAGGCGAAAAAAAGAAAAAGGGAGTGTGTAGGTGTGTGTGGAGTGGGGTTGGGATCTGGAGGGTTCTGATTTAAAGAACAGTCTAGAATGTTGTGTTCATTCTCATTTTACTTTTTTTTTTTGACAATTTTTTTTTTTTTATTAATTGGTGATTGTTTGGGAATAAATAGTGGTACGATGGTAAGAATCGTAAGATGGTTCCAAAAGGAAGAAGTTTGATTTTGAAAAAGTCTTGAATTATCCCTAGAATTTATAAAGAGTTTGTGTAGCGGTGGAATTTAAGTTAAGATTTTTTTTTTTTTTTTAAAAATAATGGAAAAATTAGAAATAATAATTCCAACCTTTATCAAATTTGGTAGAATAATCTCAACTTTGGATTATATTAGAATAATTCATACTTTGGGGGGTTTTCTTTTTCTTCAATCCCAAATATAGGTTACCGGTTGAATGGGTTAATTTTTATTTTTATTTTTTAAAACTGACACGTGTCACGAGTTAATTGGTTAAAAAATATATAAAAAAATCCCCAGCCAAACCCAGAATCCGGCCACCCTACCTTGCCGACGGTGGCTGCTGCTACTCCCCCTCCCCCTGCGCCGATTTCTCCCCTCTCTCAACGTTGGTTTCCCCCCTCCCCCAATGTCGGTGATATGACCCACTTTCCTCCCCTCCTTTTCCGCTGGCAACCACCCTGGAAAGATCAAAATTCCTTTTCTAGACACCACCACCACTCGCAACTCCCTTTAAAACTCTCGCCAACTCCCGAAAACCCCCAAACACTCTTTCCCCACCATGAAAAAAAAAACCCTAGTTGCTAGGGTTTCGGGGTGAAGGAGGAGTTTTTGGTGGTTTTTCGGGAGTGGGAAAGGGGTTTTTTGTGGTGGTTTCGCGGTGGGTTGGAGGGGATTTTGGGGAAGGGGGAAAGTGACGGTCCAGCGTGGGAAGAACGATGGTCCGGCGTGGAAAGATCGACGGTCGGTGAAGGACTGGTGGTGGAGGTTATGGTGGGACTGGGGGAGAGGAAGTTGGATGGGTTTTTTAGATTTTTTGGTTTTTTTTTTTGTTATTATTTTTTTGTTTTTATTTATTTTTTAATTTTTGGACCAAACAGGGCTTGACACGTGTTAAGTAACCTGATATAGTAGGTCATTGACTTTTGTTGACCGGTTAGGGATTGAAGAAAAAGAATACCCCCTAAAGTTCGGAATATTCCAGTGTAATTCAAAGCTGAGATTATTCTACCAAAATTGAGGAAAGTTGGGATTATTATTTCTAATTTTTCCCAAAAAAAATTCTTGTTGGTTAGGTGTGGAAAAATTAGGACCTGATTTTAGTGGCTGAACTCAGCTGAACTGAAGTGAACTTATTAGAACTGAAATGATAATCTTATAAGAAAAGGAAATTAGGAGCTGAACTGAACTGAACTAAAAATGATCGTATGAGAACAAGCCCTTAGTTTTGTGAATGATTTCAGACATTGATATTTAAATGGCTCTAAAAAAAATCTCGTAAAAATTGCAATTATTTGTTGTTTGGCATGCACATAGTAAGTAACTAGTTTAGAACCCGTGTTATGCACGGTTTTAGAGTACAATAATACTTTTTTATTTAAAAATGTGTAAAACGAAATCATTGTCTGTAAGAAAAACATAAAAAATTTATAATAAACATTATATTGTGATATTTTATAGTACATGTGAAAAGGAAGGAATACGGAGTAATTAGGATTTTTAGTATTCGTAGTATTAAAGCTTAATCTTTTTTTTTTTTACGGGAGTATTAAAGCATAATCTTATTCTCAATTAAGTAACAATTTTTATATACTTTACTACTACACTTTTATATTTTTATTTAAATTATTATGGTTGTGCATCATCCCTTACCTAAATATAAGGTAAAACATAACAAACTTCCTTCAATAACAAAAAAAAAAAAAAAAAAAAAGTAACAAACTTTTAAGCAGGAAATTTTTTTTATGATGCAATGCCAATTGTACCTTAGGGATAATTATGGGGATTACTTTAGTATATAAGTATAGATTTCTTGTATCATACTCCTGGAGTGGGGATGGAAATAAGCGGGGTTTGAATAAAATCTAGTAAACTCGGACCCAAACTCAAACTTGAAATTTATTATTATCCATACAAGTTATGGGCCACACCCACATTGTGTGTGCATTATAAGAACTTTATATGGCTCGATTTTCTCTTTTTTCATGAAATATTATATACATTATTCTAATTAAAAAAATATTTAAAAAAAAAACTAATTAAAAACAGAGTATCGTGTTTAAAAATTGATGAAATCATGGAGGCAATAGAAAAATATGACTTCCTTAAAAAAAAATAGTACTGGGTTTTTTTTTTAAAAAAAGGTAGCTTTTAATCTATTAACAACAAACATTGCTGACATCATCAATGATAAAAATTAAAAATTTTCCCTCCATTTATAAGTCTGATGTCATCAATATTATTATTATTTTTAAATCTACACTATATATTTTTCAAACACAAAATAATTGCCATTCTTTTTTACACAAATGATAAAAAATAATTTTTATGCATAATAATAATAATAATAATAATAAATTAAATCGTGCAATGCACGAGTCTAATCTAGTTTTTATTTTTTTAATAAAGGATGGTAGGTTTTTTTCAAAAAAAAATTTCTATTGATGGTAGTTATTTTTTTAAAAAATGAAGGTAGTTTTTTTTTATATAAAAAGAAAATAAAAAATGAGAGGGGTATTATGGAAAAGAAAAATTTATCACCCAAAACCCCCTTTCACTTTATATATTACTATAGATTCATAGCTTACCTGGATGATCAGACCCTTAGAATTTAAATTTCGACTGTTTCACCATATACTTCTAAGTTATTTATTCACCAAATACCCAAAATCATTATATACACTCGAGTTTCATGAAATTGTTACTGAATACCCAAATGACTAACAAATGTTAACTCCGTTAATCATTAGGGATTAGATATGCCACATGGCAGCATCTTATTGGTTGTCTTTTTAATTAATTAAATTTTAAAATAATTATTAATTAAAAAAATCCTCAACCCACGACCAGCCCAGCCCCAACCACCACCTTGTCCCATCGACGACATAGCCTAACCACCTCGTGTCGGTGCCCTGAACCTCCATCCGGCGACCTAAACCAGCCACCCCTTGCTAGCGCTCGTTCTCCCTCGAAAACCCCTACCCAATCCTCAAAACCCCCTTTCTCCCTCGAAAACCCTTCCCCTCCCTACCACCGGCGTCCAAAGGCCCCCTCCCCACACCGGAAAACTCAAATCGGGTTATCCCCTCCAAGCTCCACCTTTTACCCACCATGCCAGAACCCTAAATTTTAAAACCCTAAAATTCGAAATCTAGGTTTTCGATTATGGGGTTTAAGGGGTTTTGGGGTGGTGGTTTATGACCAAGTTGGCGACAACTAAAGGAAGGTCTCTGGACTGCCGACGAAGAAGTTTCGGGTGGTGGTGGCGATTTTCGGCCACAGTGGAAAGGTGGGGGGGGGGGAGGTTTTAGCGATTTTAGGAGGTTTTGGGCAGTGGGTTCTATGGTTTAATAGCCTTGGGGGAAGGGGCGGCGCCGACGCGGTGGGGAGGGGGGTCTAGGCACCAGCGAGAGGGAGGCGACTGACACGTAGGGGTGGTGGTGGGGAGATGGTCTAGCGCCGGCAGAAGGTGGCTAGTGATTTTCTTTTTAAAAAAATAAATTAATTTTTTTTTAATTTCTTTTAAAAAAAATTAATGATATAACTTTAAATAATCAATTAGATGCCGCCACGTGACATATTTAACCCTAATGACAAACGGACTTAACTACCGTTAGTCATTAAGGGCATTTTGTGACAATTTTCATGAAACTCGAGTGTATATGGTGAATTTAAAAAAAAAAAAAAATTGGGTATTTGGTGGTGAAAAAAAAAAACTCAAAGGTATATGGTGAAAAATCCGTTTAAATTTTAAGACACTTACCTAGGTCTCTATGGGTCTAGTTGGATCTAAGTATGGATGGTTCAATTCCGTATTGTGCAAAAAAAAAAAAAAAAAATCAAAAAACTTGTTAGGGGTAAGAGAATCAACTCATTAAACCAAAAGTTAAGCCGGTGGTTGAGGCACATGAAAAATGTTGTATACCATGTTCCTTTACATGAGAGCTACTTAGGTTTGAAATGTAAATGCAACTTGGGTCTTCTCATGCCGAGCGCAAAAAAAAAAAAAAATCACTTAAAAGAAAGGGGGAATTAGCTCTAATTACCATGTTAAAATACCAACTCACCTACTAAATTAAGCTTGTATTCTTTCAATAACATGTAAACATGCATGATCGATATTTTTTCATGATAACAAACGGGTAATGCTATAGTGCCAATGGGTTAATTCATGTAACAAACGGATACTTGATTATGAACACCCTTAGCTTGGCTATCGCCAAAGAGAGGTTGTTATATACACTCGGATGTATAGTACACCCGTAAGTATTTATTATACACTATTGATGATTAAGCAAGATCCCTAAGCTATTTGACCGAGAATATTACGTAATACTCTTTGGTGGCTAAGGGGCCAATTTTAATATGTACAAGTATTATAATTATAATCTATCTTTGGTAGTAATATTTTGTACGTCCCTTAGATTGATTTAATTGGGCCTGCCAAGTTACGAAATTCTATAGGTCAGTTAAGCGGTGCTATGACCAAAATTTTAAAGATATGATACTATTAGCACTGTCAAAACGGTTTGACAGTTCGGTTTCGATTCGGTTTGAAATCGGTTCGGTATTTAATCGGGTCGGTTTGGAATCGGTTTAATTGTCTCACGGGTCGGTTTTGGTTCAGTTTAAATAGTTATCGGTTCGATTCGGTTTCGGTTTATTCTTAAGCGGTTTTAATTCGGTTCGGGTTGTAAACAGTCCGGGTAGTAAACGATGCGGTGTAAACGGTTTTTTATCCCGGTTCAAACAGTTTCGGGTTGGAAACGGTTTCGGGTTAGAAACAGTTCGGTTCTTTTTTGGTTTAGTTTATAACTGGTTCGGTTCTTTTTCGGTTCAGTTTTTAACTGGTTCAGTTCTTTTTCAGTTCAGTTTATAACTGTTCGGTTGTTCGATTGTTTAACCACTTTAACGTTATTCATATCGGTTCCATTTCAAGTTTACTAAATTATAGTTGAATCTGAATTAAAACATAGCCTAATAGTATATTCATGTCACTAGCACACTCCCATCTTTATTTCATTATTACTCACAGAATTAATGTAATCATATGCTTAATAGTCTCTGTGAATTAATTTTATTTATTACGCCTTCAGCCAAGCCTTGGTACTTAATATTACAAGCTTTTTTTTCATTTGGTTTCATCACCTCAAATGTATACATGACTAGAGGCAGTAGTGTTGCTAATAGTTTGAGGCAGGGCCTGAGCCTGCTTGTTTTGCTCTTGTTTGTGAATACTGTTTATCCTTAAGACCTTAATGAATGATTTGCCTTGCTATTTTAAAAAATATATTCTAAGATTTCTAATATTTAATCCATTTAATTATATCCCCGTAAAAAAAAAAAAAAAAAATCCATTTAATTATATAAAAAAGTTTGTAAACGGTTCGATTTAGAAGCGGTTTGGTTCATAAACAGTTTGGTTTATAACCAGTTCGGTTTATAATCAGTTCGGTTTTTAAATGGTTCGGTGCAAACGGGTAGCAGTTTGCTAACGGTTCGGTGTAAGCGGTTTTTTTGCCAGTTTAAACGGTTTCGGGTTGGAACCGGTTTCGGGTTAGATACGGTTCGGTTCTTTTTCGGTTCGGTTTTCTTTCAGTTCGGTTCTTTTTCGGTTCGGTTTGTTAACGGGTTCGGTTCTTATACGGTTTAACATTATTTGGGTCGATTCGGTTTCGGGTTTACTAAAATACGGTTCGGGTCGGTTTTCGGTTTCAAAAAAATCGGTTTTTAATCGGTTCGGTTCTCATTTGGATCGATTGGTTTCGGGCAGTTAAACGGTTTCGGTTTGAAATTTGACAACACTAGATACTATGATAGGAATACATGATAGTTTGGGATTATTTACGATAGTATATAGTCTATGTACGCTTATTTCCTAAAATACGAATTTAAGATTGTTTCCTAGATTTTTTTTTTAAAAAATTATATGATATGATAGTTAATAGTTTAGAATAATTTTTGAAAATTTTCTAATAGTGTAAGCTTATTTCCTAAAATACGATGTAAAATTGTTTCCTAAAACAATCTTGTTTCCATAATATCTATCTTAGCTTGTTCCTCAAGGAAACAGTAGGTTATCAAATTATCTAGTTTAATCGACTTAGGCATTATTATAAATACTCTGTAGAATAACAGGAACCAGATACTTGTTAACTAAAAAAAAAACTCCTCTAAGAAAAACAAACACAACAAAATAATGGCGATTCAAAACCTAAAGGCTACGGTCAATTCTTCTTCTTCTTCAATTCGGGCCAATTCGATTAAGCATGTTCGTGATGAAAATTTAAAGACTTTATTATCGAAGAAGAAGCTTCACCTCGTACTCGATTTAGACAATACCATTCTTGAATCGAGTATTTTTGAAGATTTAACTAAATATGATCGTGATTATATACAACGCTCCGTTGGTGTCAAGATGATCGAAGAAAAAAAGCTATATCAATGGGTGTGTGAAGGAAAGGGGTACAAGGTACGTCTATCAGTGTTTCCTGTATGTTTTTATTTGTTATACTAAATAAGTAGCTTAGTACTTACGTAGTATTAATTATCATCACATGGATTAATAATATTTTTGATATTTCAATAACCATGTTTTGCTTTAACAAATTGAAATAAAAAAAAATGTATCTATATTTTGTTTAGTATGCAATACAATCATGCAAGTATATAGATTATTTTTTACAAGTTAAATTAACATATATAAATTTCAATCTACAGGATGTTTATTTAACGAAATTGAGACCTTATGTGAAAACGTTCCTCAAGGAAGCAAGTAAACTATTCGATAAATCAATTTTTACCCTAGGAAATCTCGCGTATACAACGAAGATGCTAGAACTACTTGATCCCGAGCGTTTATATATTAATTCACAAGTGATCACGAGGGAATATGTGCCATTATCGACACCATGGAGGAAGGGGCATGATCTTTTGAAGTCGCACGAAAGGGTCGTGTTAGTAGTCGATGATGCAAAAGACGTGTGGGAGGCTAATACTAAAAATTTGATCGATATAGCACCATACGGGTTCTTTGATGATGAGTCCTCGGATAAGAAATCGTGGACACGAAAATGGGAGGATGAAAGTGACAAGTATGGAGAACTTGCTCGAGTTTTGAGAGAGTTAAAGAAGATTCATAAAGAGTTTTACAATTTGGAGGAAGGCGAAGATTATGAAAGCCGTGATGTAAGAGATGCAATTGAAGAAGTGAAGAGGAAATTCAGCTTGCAAGGGACTAAACAAGGGATGATTAGTCAACATGCAAAGGAAACGACTAGTGAGATTGATGAATGCTTCAAATCGATGGATCTAAATTGCCGCAGAAATAGACTAAATAGAATTCAGACTAGTCATGATGTTATGTGATGTTTATATAATGTTCTAACATGAATTCTATGATTTTCTTTACTTTTGATTTTCTTTTTTAGGAAATTATATATATTGAATGTTACTTTATTATATATTTTTTTTTATCAATTGAGGAAATTTAATTAAACCTGTTATTGTCAATTGCTAGAACGTAATAATTTGTGTACTTCGTATAATTTTAATTAGTTGCTTGAAAATGAAACGTGCTTAGGAGATAATACAATTTAAAGCGTAAGATTTAAGTATATATATCTTTTGATTTGTTGCACTTTAAAACATATATTCTTGCTTGTTTGTTAGGGGTATGCATGCAATAATTATTTATGGTTTGAAAAATATGAATTAAAACCACACACGAGCATTAAATCATTTATTTGTTGGTAGGAGCATATACCCCGTATTTATAAAGATGTAATGTAATTAATACACTAAGGTCCCGTTCTTTAGAGCTGCTCTGCTCTGCTCTACTCTGCTTTGTTATGCTCTGCTCTACTCTGCTTTGGTTTGCTTAATTTTCAAATAATAATTAATAATAACAACAATTATAATTAATATTTAATAATAATAATTAATATTGTATTAATGATAATAATTTATTATTTTGAATAATTATAATAATTATTAATATTAAAAATAATTTTAGTAATTATTAATATTAATAATAATTAATATTTATTAATCATAATAATAATTAATAATAATTATCAATAATAATGTTTAATAATTCAAACTATTAAGAATTAATATTAATAATTTCTAATAATTATAACAATTCTTTAAAAAAAATAATTAATAATAATTATAACAATTAATAATTTTTTTTATAAACATTTGATATTAGAATCACAATGTGTAGAAAAATTTTATGTGGGTATTGATTGTTAGTTCATTGAGTTGAATTATTTTTCAAATCTTTCCATATATTTTAAGAATTAAAAAAAAAGAGGTTGTTTTCAATTAGTACTTTGTATATTATTATTTTTTTAGGGTTAAAAATATATGATTAAGAAAAATTTATAAGTAAAATAATTAATACTCATTAAATCATTTTATTTTAAAATAAAATTTTTGTGAAATAAATATAAGTAAACGATTGTCTTTTATCTTTCTACTATTAACATATGTTAAAATGGTACACATATATTTATGTTTTCACTCACCTAAATCGTAATAATAATAATAATAATAATAATAATAATAATAATAATAATAATAATAATAATAATAATAATAATAATTTTAGACATCCATTTGTGTTTCCCCAAAACCAAACCCAGTGATGAGTATTTTTCACGTCGAATCATAATCGAGTGAAGTGAAAGTGTGGAAAGTCTAGTGTTGCGGTTAGTTTTTAATTCTTTTCTTTCTCTCTGTTTTTGAAAACCTATTTTACGTATTTTATGAAAATAGTCAATCCAATTTAGTTTGGTCCATGGAAAGGGTCCAATAATATTGTAGTTGGATTGGCTCGAATAGAGCTTTCCAACGATATATTATAAGCCCAATTTCAATGAATAATGAGGAAGTTATGGCCAAATTACTAAACTGGGCCCGGTTTGATTTTTATATGCGACCCAATGATCTAAAGGAGGGCCTATTATGATTTATCATTCCTAATGCAATTAGGATTGATTATAGTCTTTTAGAATCTTCTAGAAGGTTCTTTTGAATCCTAATTTGATTAACATTGATAAATGAGTTTTAAGAGTTTTATTTGGAATAAAAGAAGTGTTTTTAAGGAAATTACAATTTTACCCCCCTCGTACGCTTAAATTTTATCAAAATAAGAAAACGCGTGGAGAAACTGATTGCAGCGCCGCAACTACAGTCTGTCGCCTGGCGACAGCCGTGTCGTCTGATGACAGGGGCGTGTGTGGCGACAGTGTCGTGTTTTATTCTTTTCGAAACTCTGATTCTTTTTTATCATAATCCGACTGATTTTCTTTATAAATAGCCTCCTAAAACCTCCGTTTTGAATCACCAACTCTCATCAAGAAATTCTTAATATGCTCTTTCTGTCTTTTCTAAACTAGCCTTCTCTCAAATACACAATTCCTCACACATTTGCACTAGACGCACCTAGCCAAATTCGAAGTTGCCTTCTCCCTAGATGTGAAAGGTTCGATATTTCAGAGGGTTTGGTCCCAAATCTAGTCTAAACTTTCTTAATTCTCTATTTCAATTATTTGATTTAATTATTTAATTTTACTATTTCCCTTGAAGTTACTAACGTGTGTATTTTGTTATTAGAAAGAGATACGAGGCATCCAAGTAAGTGATTTAATTGTTTAATTGATATTATGATATAGAAATCATGTTTAGATTTTTATTTTGATTTCTAGTATCATGTTAGGATGTTTTATTGCTTCCTAGTATCGTGTTTAGGGTGACAACAATAAGTTCCTTATATCAATTATGATTTATGTGATGCTTCCTATTTCTTTCCTAATATTCATGTTAGTATCATGTTAGAGCTAAAGCTTTGATTTTTAATGTTTATGACATGCTAGGGTTTGTTATTAATCTTGTTAGTATCATGCCTAGGATTTTGCTATTATTATGCTTTAACATGATTATTTTAATTATGATTGTTCTTTTTATAATTGTCATAATTATCATAATTATTATTGTTATTATTATTATTATTATTATTATTATTATGTTGCATGATTATATTTATTGTTATTGCTTGATCACACCTTTTATGGATGTTTAAAGGGAATTTATACTTGTATTCACACTTAATAAGATAATTAATAATCTTGTTTAGGGTTAATTTGATTATAATTCAAGTGATCGCCAATAATAGTTTTATTTGTGCATTAATATTCAACCTACATAGAATAAACAGGTTTAGGGTTAATACTTTTGATTGTATGTTAGTCAGAAAGCGCACATGAATATGAGAAGAATAAAGTAGAGGCCCGTTATTAGGGCAGGTTCAATCTCTTTTAGATTGGATTTGTACCTTCATCCCGAACTTCCAGTCATGGTTCCAGACCTATTGGAGTTAACGATCTCCTGGATCGTTAGGGGGTGTAACCTTCACCCTGTGAACAGTTTACAAGTTCCTAAAACTTGTTGGCGACTCTTTTGCTCTAGCTTCCTTCCCTTTGGACGCCACCATGCTTAAGTGTATGATCACAGTGGGTTTCAAGTTTGGGGTAATGTTTGAAATATTCCCTACAGTTTTTGGAGACTTCACTGGGGAGGATTTCTATTTTAATTCCTGAAATTTATTTCGGCAATGATTTAGAATGAGTAGATGAGACTCAAAAAGTTCTAAGTATTTCATGTGCGTAATTTGATTAACATTATTGTCATATGCATAAAAAGATCTCATTGGAAAGACCATTCGTAATGAGTTAAAAACATACTTCCTCCGTTTTTTAGATGCAACACACCCTTTAGCGCGGTAATTAAGAAAGGTGGGGTTTACATGATATAATAAACTTTAAAATAGGATGAGTGGTTGTTAGGAGTGTAATTTAGTGGGCCATGTGCTTTAAAGAAAGGAAATAGTAAAGTTTTTTTTTTCCTAAAGTAACTTTCCTTCTATAGTGTGACATTTCCTTTTTAGGAAAGTGTTGCAAGTAAAAGAATACGGAGGAAGTAGGATTTTTACACGTAGGAAATTTGAGGAATATATTTCACAATTAGTATCGAAATAATGCTGCGAAAAACTGGAAAATTTTATCGAACACAGAAAGCTGTTGAGGCATGTAGGAACTGGCGTCTAGCAAATAGAGCCTGTCGCCGATAATATGGCTCTGTCGCCAGGTGACAGGGCTATATTGTGGCGACGGTCTTTGTTGGCTGGCGCTACGTTCTTCCAATACCAAGCCAGAAATATGAGTTCTAATTTTTGACCAGTTCTAGCAGTGTTGGCTCGATCCTACTTACTGATTGAGTTTTTCTCACTTTTTTGAAACCCATATGTGTTCTACATATGGACATAACCCTCTGGGAATTCATGCTCCATCTACCCGATTGAACGCTCTGAGCAACAAAGGGTACGTCCGAGAATGTTGAATTCACCAAACCATGGAAGCGAGTTTAACTCGCGGGGTCCCATCCACATGTGCCAACCCTTCCAAAGGTAAGGCTTCCGCGCGGCGCATTCGGACTCATAACCATAGACCCTCTTTGACTAACCCATATCCTAAACTTTAGAGAACTAGAGCCATAGTTAGGTTGCAAACTCATTGCATCATATTGTGACTACTTGACTACTTGTGCATCTCTTACTTGTGCATACTTATTATGTGACTAAACTAACCGTTTGGTTTTACTTGTGTTCGTAAATAAGCCTTAATAAACTAACCATTGACTAAAGGGATTTGCTTAATTAATTAATTAATTAATTAATTAATTTGAGCTAAAAAAAATATACCTTAAATTGAGTCATTGTTACTCCAAGTCAACCCGGATTTTTATTCTTGTATACTGCACAAGCGTCAACTTATTTTGGTCATAGCCGGAGTTCTAGGAAGAACTACGAGTCATACAGCCTATGGAGCTGTAGCCCCGAGTTTTATCTTTAAGTTGGCGTTGGTTTCACCCCAATCAGAGTCACAGATAAAACGTTATGACTAAAATTCCACAGCCTGTCCTGTTTAATGCATATATGTGAGGTCATAATTTAGTCTTTGCTTGAGTCTAGTCATATGGTCTAGTCACATGGTCGCGACACGAGTCTTACCATGTCACCTAAAATCACTAGTCTTAGCACACACTTTGTATATGTCACCATGACCATGTCTTAGGTTCATGCATGAGTCGTTTTCCATCATTCGAGTGGGGGGGGGGGTCCAATCTATTACCATTCTTTTCCACCTTTTCTTCCATGTTGAATAGAGCTTGGGTCAAAATAAATAATAAAAAAAGCTTATCCCTAATTTTCCTTTCCACAATACTTGGTCAAGAAGAGAAGGGAGTTTAATCAAGGACAACCTCTTTGTTCAAATTCAACTTTTTGATAAACCAGTTAGTCGGAAGAGAAAAGCCACCAAACTGACATCTTCCTTCCGATGTTCACTAAAAT